GTAGTTTAGTTTAGAGTACAAAGATATTGCAAAAATATATAATCTTAGAGATTCTGCTTATCCCAATTGGTGTAGGCGTTAAACATCCTTTACGTATTTAATACCTAAACCGGTTTAAACGCGACAAGGGTTATGATAAAAGTTGATTGCGTGGGATGTGAAAGTAGGGTTTTGCGGATTTCGCACAATGTCAGAGATGTGGTGTATATATTTTTCAGAACAACTTCTATATAGAAAAAACAATTACAAGGCATACTTAAATAAAATTAAATGAAAACAGTTGAAAATGTTAGGGCCTATCCCAACACTAGAGTCTCAGATAGCTTGAAAATGACGTCACTGTCAGATAAGGGAATAAAATTCGATATTTCCATAACAAATTCTACACGTTGGATTGTTATCAGATAATTAACAATTTGGTAGGACAGGCACTTAATATTTTTAATTCGACCATCTCAAACGGCGTTCGAATGTCGCCATGTTAAAATTAATTCCGCTCCCCAGTAAACAAAGCTAACAATTAACAGCTTTAAGTGATTCTTAATTGCTTCTTATTGTATCCGGCCCGTCTGGAATACAACTGTTGGTGGAGTCCGTTAATATTGAATTAAACACATGCTCGGGTTTTCAATCGCGACTGTAATTACAAAACGCTTATTAAAACACACTTTAACGTTTTTTTCCGATAGATGGCGTTGTTTTTAACCTTTAGACGCGCACACTTTCGACTAAACTGTCGCATAAATATGTGCGATTGTCGACTGTTTTGCAGCTCATTCAACTGTTTAGTTGCACAACTAAAAATCGAGTAGAACTAAACAGTTATGCGATAGTTTAGTCAAAAGTGTGCTCGTGCTTTTAAATAACTCTTGGTCTTTTCCGACCATCTTCGCACACATGTACAATAAAGATGTTTACTAGATGAATAAACGGGTTTTTTTAATTTCAAATAATTGTTGGCAACTTTATTTTAACGTAGATAATTTTCTTTCGGGCTATTCTGATAATAAAAGCAAAGGCGGATATTTTTTTACTAAACATACTCTGCACACAGATGTCTAGCTAGGGGCGTTATTGTTTTAAAATGTATTAACTTTGATGCGGGCTATCTTATAACAGATTCTTAGAAATAAGCATATAATATTATCACATTTTGAGCTTGTATGTTTTCAATTTACCGAAACCCCATAATGCGTAGGTTTAGTAATGAATATAAGGAAACATTGTTACGGAATATTGCTTACGACACTGGCATTGCCTAGTGAAGGCATAACCAGTGCGCACATCTATGCGATAGTTTAGTCTCGCTTTGATTCTTGTCAGCTTATATAGAGGCGCATACTATTCGATTTTTAGTTGTCCTAAACAGTTGAATTGGCTAAGAAACAAGCGACAATCGCAGAACAGTTCTGCGATTGTTTAGACAAAGATTTGTATCCCGTCTGAACGTTACCATAAATTACAAATGTATTTCTTATATTAAAAGTACAAATTGTAATTAGTTTTAAGTTAGTGTAAATGCAATTGTATTTGTTTTATCTTTGTTGTTGTCAATAAAATATTTCTATCTCTATTTCTTAGTATTTTACCATCTGTTTTCCACCATAAGATAAAAGAGAGACAAAACATAAGACACGATTGTACGAAGACTTATAACTAGTAGCAATTTGTCTTTCAAATATTCCGGAAAAATGCTGCCTTCCCTTGATTCTATCCCTCGTATCAATCACCCCTTAATCCTGCAGGATCAGACCGTGGCAATAAATACTCTCCCTAATCTGTCAGTTTTACATATCTACTGCGCAGTTTTTGCACAATTTTAATAAATTCCGCCCGCCAACGGACAACAAGTTGACAATATCTTGAAGACAAAGCGACTCTCTCAAGCGATAAAAGTATATTAATATTCCTCGGCCGGTCTTATTGGATTTTTTAAATTAGGGACAAAATTAAACTTTCAGAATGATCTCGTGATTGTAATGGAAAGTTTGACGTTTTAATTAATATTTTAATGTGTTAAATAACTAGCTTTCGCCCGCGATTACGTCCGCGTGGTATTAAAAAAAAACAAAAGTGAACAGCCTATGTGTTCTAGACTATCTCTACATCTACACTAAATTTCGTCGAAATCCGTTCAGCAGTTTATGCTACAAACTCTAACAAACATCCATCCATCTAAACTTTCGCAATTATAATATTGGTAAGATTAATACGTATACCAAATTCAATCCTTTTTAATATCGTCAGCTCGTCGAATGCTGTTTGTAATTTTGACACAAAGGTTATGTTTTGTACTTAAAGTACTCGCAAGGTACTTAAGTACTTCATACAAACTTAACTATGGTCGTCAGTACAACCAAGGTAGATTTTCCTGGTAGATTTTAGGGTGTGATTGTTTGATATGCCAATCTAACTTCCATTATAAAGTTGAATTAAGACTTGGAATCCAGTGATTAGAATGCCAAGTCTATTTTAATTTGGCAGGAAATGTTGGAAAGGATTTTTTGTTGACGGAAATCCGTTAAACTTTTTAAATAGCAGAGATAATGCATATGACGTATGAAATTCTCTTATCGCTGTATCCAGGCGTCAGAAGGGTTGAAATCCAACCCTAAAATAATGTATTTTTATGGAGAAATTTTATGGACCTTTTTGTACAAGCAAATAAAGGCAGAATTTGTATTATCTGTGCAATGGTATATTTTTAAATGGGTTGTTTTAACGTGTATACATTTTTTGTCTATTTTGAGATTTGAAATTAAATTAAAAATTGTTAGTTACCTTACGTCACTAAGGCTCTTTCTAAGGAGTGTGCTGCTTTTGTTTTTCACGTCCATATGCGAAGCCGAGTGTTTCATTAATGAAATACCTATGCTATGTTTTCATAATAAATCAGCATTATCAATACGCGGATAATAAACAAAAAGTATAATAAAAAAACAGGAAACATCTTAATACATATATTAGATGAGAATGCAATGGTTAGGATAGTTTGAAAACAAGAGTATCAACCAAGTTTAGTTCTAGTCTCTGTGGTAGACTGTTCCGGAGCTCTTATGTTTCTGTTATGATATAAGTACGAGTATTCAGTTATCAGTGTAACTTGGACTTTTAAAGTAACAGTTAAAATCTGTGTATAGCCTGTGGAATCAGTAATTCCTAAAAATCAGCGATTTTGGTATGTTAAAGTGTCTCTTTCTGTTACCCATTTGCATATTCCTTCGTACTTCAGCGTAGAATTAAAAAAAAATGACTTTAAATTTCCCGCTAATATAAAAGTTATTTGATATAATTTCGAGGATAACCCAGAACAGCCGCGGTCTTGACAAACAAAATATTTAAGAACATTTTCGTTAGCAGCAGCATTTAAAATTTTACGTACAGACACTTCAATTTTATTAAACTACTAGCTTTCGCCCACGATTCTGTCCGCGTGGTATTAAAAAAAGTGAGTAGCCTATGTTTTCTTCCAGACTATCCGCTACACTTATGCGAAATTTAATCAAGATCCGTTTAGCCGTTTAGGCTGCAACACTAACAAACATCCATCCATCCAAACTTTCGCATTTATAACATTAGTAAGATAGATTCGTCTTGTATTATGACGAAGCGACAATCTCGGCTTGTCTGCTAAAGGAAGGAAACCCACTATTGTTTACAAATTATTGTCGCTGCAAGAAATATGAATCCTCAATTCTAAAGACATTTGTATTACATTATGCATAGTGAATTTGAAATCGTCAACTTGCCCTTGTCTCTATGGAGGGTCGGCAGTATGTACTGCTCCATACATTTCTATCAGCCGTCATATCTGAATTCACTCCCTTAAGCATATCCTCTTGCACACAATTCATCTATACATTCTTCTATTAAAAATGTAGGAAGAAAATAAATGTCACATTTTGATATTTGTGTAAATAAGCCAAATTATCAAACGTGATTTCTCTGTTGTAATATAATGGTCGTTGACCTGCGGTTTACAATTAAATTTATGTAATTATATTTAGAATACAACTTTGTTTATTTCCTTTCCTATACTCTGCTCGTATACAATATAAATGTAATTGAGGTTTGAATGATATTGCAGTTTGTAGACATTTTAAGCGTACTTACTCGTATTGCAGATAAAACTAGTAGAGCTTCTTGAGTCTATTTCTTGTCAAGTCACACTTTGCCCCTATTTGTACATCATCTTCCTTATCCTACTCCCGTAGGGTCGACGTAACAGGTTTTTGTCCTCCACATAACTATCATACGTCATCTCAGTCATCACTCCCTTTTGTATCATGTCACCTTTTACGCAATCCTTTCTCTTTCTAGGTCTACCTTTACCGATGTACCACACTCATAACTAACGTTCTCCTTGTTACATACGATTCATCCCTTCTCATAACATGCCCATACCGTGCTAATCTTTTACTACTTTCTTCAATGTTCTTATATTATAATCATTTCGTATCTTATTAATTCGTGTTACACCACACATTCATCTTAACATTCGGATTGTACAAAAAATTTAAATTGTACCGGGCATCGAACCCAGTATTGCCATATCGTATTGACTGAGCAATCGTCATTGCCCGAGGCACAATGGTAACGGATGCTCAACTATTCAACGTGCGTTAATGGCAAGTGTTTGGTATGTAATTAGCACGTGTTTTGTACTAGTAAGGTCGAAGGAATGCACGCAGGTTATATTGTCGATAACTCGATATGGGAATCGAACCTGAATACTTAATGTAGGGATAGGATGATTCACAAAAGAACAAAACAAGAGTAAGGAAAAATGTGTTATAAAATGATGCTGGTTTTGCAACTGTTAGAACAGGAATTTTAAATATGGGTTTCCATTGCCAAAATGTAGAAAAACATATTGTCTCTGTCATTTTGAAAGATTTTGAGAAGGACAACTGTCTGTTCGGTATTCAAAACATTAAAGAATTTAGCACATCTGCTACCAGGAGAACAGATACATTATTTATCCCTGTGCATCTTTCCAGCTGTATACAACTACACGAACAACTCGCAGCATCATCTGCAGCTGGAAGTGGGCGAGCTGGTGCACCTCCAGCGGGAGACCAGCCACTGGTACTGGGGCACCAGCCTGCGCGCGGGCACCAGCGGCGCATTCCCTAAGACGTACGTCGTCATACGAGACTGCACCGTCGATAGGTAAGATATATTGATAATATCTAGTAGTAAGGCGTTTTATGCAATTACTATATCTGTAACTAATTAAATAAAACAATCAGGCCACTGCCTCCCGCCAGAATGACGTTAACAGCTGTAAGGGACGTCTATGCCGATATTCAAGTGTTGCCCGATTTTCTTTATAATAATAGGGTTGCCAACTTCAACTGAATAACACGAGTGATAACCTATGTAATAAAAGCGGCGTACACCCTTAGGGGACGGCAAAAATGCTGCTGTGTGGTGTGGAGTGGTCAATACTTTTACTAATAATTTTACTTTAAACTCGGGGAGTTGGCCTTTTTGTCGTGAGTTGTGGCATCCTTGGAAAGCAAACATTCCTCTATACAATAATGAGGTCATAATTCACACGAGAACCGAACCCGCGACCTCATATTTGATGACCGAGGCCGCCAATTGACCGGGTCTCTGACCTCATTGATAGCTGACCGTCCGGCTAATTGAAGTTATCACATCATTTTACAATTTATCAACAGCTGTGCAAGAATGCTTCCGTTAAAAAAATTCAACAAAGAGCTTTTACTCCCAATACTTTGTTTTACTAAAATATATGGCAATGAATTCATGTTTGTACTGCCTGGGCAATTTGTTAATAATTATTTTGTTCGACAGGACGTTGTGAACGAAATTTACCTTATAAAGTTGCGATTTAATTTAAAAATCATCCTGTATATAAAAAGATATCTATATTTTTTACACAGGTGATGTCGTTAAGCGTGTTAAAAATAAATTTACTCACAAACTTGGTTATTTGGAACACGCTTCGGCAATTTGTAAGGAATAGCTTCAGTAATAACTGGGACGCGTGCTGCTTCTGTAAACTCTACCATTCATCTTTTGTCGAATTTTGAACGTTTACGTTATCTGTTATTGTCTGTAGAAGATACGAATAATATTGAAAAGTGTTTTAAGATTATCGACTTGATATTGTTTTTTAAAATTAACGAAATATGGGACACATGCAAACTACCTTGCGGATCAGAAAGAAATTTTCAAACCCGTGCTGGAGAAATCGCGTAACACAAATAAATATAGACGAATTGATTACTTCTTTCTTTTGGGAAGTCAGTCAAAAAGGTAACACATTTTGGAGAACATAAGCAATATTGACATATGGTTTCTCATGGTCAAATTATCTCGTATGTTTTTAAACATTGTACTCGAATAGATAAAAGAATGCAGTTAATAAAAATAGTTTTATCGTATGAGATAATCTTTACGCTGTGCTCTACCGTCCGGTACTGACTATAACTTTTGTTGATATCATTGTATTTGATTAGCTAGTGGGTTTTTGTTATTTAAAACATAGATTATGTTAAGGCCTGCATTATTTTTAATAGTTATTCTCACGTAGTAGTCCATGAATGTTTATTTTTTTATAAGGTAATAATTTTACACGATAAGTTCTATCCTTAACTCATGTACACTCTTCCCTTATTTCTCTAGGGAACGTTTACATGGATGGAAAATATTGCTACAGGAAAAATGTACGCGTGATAAGAGTAGGGCCCTCTCTGGGGCATGATATATCTTGCAACTTACTTCCCTGTTCTAAATACGTGCGTGGATGTTTCCACGTGTAATGTTACGAAGCTTTCATATAACTGTAAAGAATTGCTGGAAGGTTATATACAAATGTAGTACTCATCATCTAAAAATTGTAAATCTTGTAGTATTTTGTTTTGAGAGATGTGTGACGTTGCCGCAGATGCGGGGACGCTGTCGTGGCGTCGGCGGGCGGACGCGGTG